AAGTCCAACAAGATTAAACCAATAAAACTAACGCTATATAATTTAATTATAAATAAAAAAAGTTTTTTCAGTACCTGTTTTATGCCTCGCGTAGTTTGAAAAGTTTAACATATTTGAAACAATTCTTCTTAGTAAGATGAACAAATGAAATAACAAAATCATTGAGTTACAGTGGAAATTTAATTAGCTAGATAGAAATTAACTAAAAACGTTAAATTACTTTGTAAGGAGGAAGCGGAACTGCTTAACAATATCGCTGATGATGTTTAGTGAGTGGGCTTTATATCTTTAACTAGTATTTTACAGAAAAAAAAAACTTTAAGTGTAAGTATAACGAGTTTGTAAGAATGGCTGAAGCAAAAATAATTGAAGTTAATAAACCAATTTCTAATACATTACATACATATAAATACATCCCTTATATATAAAAAATAAGATTATACTAATTAAATCTATAATATATTTACAAAACGCTGACAAGTTAAAAAATATAACTTTAAAACATTTATTTTTGTAAGCAAATGTTAGTTTAAAACATTTAGAGCTTTATGGATGTGACTCCGAGAATGAGCCATTGTATTAAAATAATTGTTCGTTTGATAGTATATTCTAAAAACAATTGATGCTAAAATTCTCAACGAAAACAAAAAAAAAAAGATTTTGAAAAATAATTCAACAGAATACTCTAAAACAGTCGCGTAGTAAATTCAGTTATTTATTAATAGAATTGGTTGTTCGTAAATTTGGCGGGTTTTTTGTGTTCGTGAATGTTCTTTATTTATTTTTCCGCACTAAGACCTTTGACAACATTCAAGTATATATAAATTTCCATGTACGTCCGTAAAAAAAAATATTTTAAATTTACGATAAAATGAACTTATTATTTTGCGGACAAACAAGGAAACATACATAAATTGAAATGTTCTCAAAACGCCTGAAAAATCTGGCCAGCTTTTCGCAAGTAAATATAATTTCCATGGTCAATTATCGAGTGCGATCGCACCCGCATCCCGACCAAGCCTGAAATATATATAAATAGTAGTTATATAGAAAAGTAATAAATAGTTATTATTAGTAAAATAGTAATTAAAGTTACTATTTTCGTTTATAATTAGTAATTTTAAGTTAATGAAAACCTAATAATAATATTACAGGTTTATTTATTTTTATTTTCGCATCTATTCATTTTTATATGCGCATTTATTCATTTTTATATGCGCATTTATTCATTCTTATATGCGCTTTTAAACATTCTTATATGTGCATTTATTCATTCTTATATGCGTATTTATTCATTTTTACATGCGTTTTTAATCATTCTTTTATGTGCATTTACTCATTCTTATACGCGCATTTATTCATTCTTATATGCCCATTTATTCATTCTTAGATGCCTTTTACAAAAGAAATTGTAAATAAAAAATTTGAACAACAAAAAAAATCAATTAAGCAATTTGTTTTAAAGAAAGCAGTTTTTGTTTTCAAAACAAATTTTTCTTTTTTCCTGGTAAACGAAGTTCAAAATACTTAAAACGAAGACTTTTTACATTAGATGATGGTTTATTTAATTTAGTATTAATTCTTTGTTTTCGATGATGGTTTATATAATTTAGTATAAGTTCTTTGTAATTTTATTATTAAGTTTCTTGATTGATTAAGTTATTATTTATCTAATTATTCTCTTATCTAGATTTAAATTTAATTACTTATAATTATTATTAATATCAAATTATACATCCCTATGGACGGAATAGAAAACAGCAGTACCAATCGTAAAACAAAGAAAAATGTTACAAAAGAGCACGTTAAAATGCTTAAGCATTTAGGTGAAAGAAATTAATCTACAACAAGCATTTCCACATCTCTTAATTTATCGAAGCGCGCAGTTCAAAATCATTTCGTTAAGTTAAACAGAGGATAATTCGACAACATGATTGCATTCAAGTTGTTTTTTGATTAAAAACGAGGAATAAGACCTATAAACTCTAAAATAAAACACATTATCGAATTATGCGTACAAGAAAACAATCTTTGCACGCAAGAAGCAATAAAAGAAAATCTTTCTGCAGCAGGCTTCAAAATGTCTCAGCCTACTAGTTTAAGAAAACTCAAACACTCGGAGTTATCAAGGATACGTGTTGCGCATGTGCCAGAAGAACAAAACTCAACACGAGTTATTAATGCACGCTTTTTTGCAATTTTTGCAAATTTGCAACGCAAGTTAATGCACGCATTATTTGCAATCAAAATAAACGGAATTTCAGATAAAAGACTTATCACTAACAGCACATTTGGCTATTTACTAAGAGGTACGCCAGAAATTTTACAGTCACCTGCAATTCGTGGCAAGATTTTTAGTTTAATTTGCGCAGTTTCAACAATGGGAGTGCTTGCCTTAGAAACAAAAACTGGAATGCAAATTCATTTTGTACTTTCATAACTACAATGATGACACCAGCAATTGGGAATGCAAATGTGGAAGCGCTGGTGCTTGTTATGGACAACTGTAAATTCCACTGCAATCTTTCTGTTAGGCAAACACTAGCCTCTCATGGTAAAATTATTAAGTATCTGCAAGCACACATGCCACACATTAATCCAATAGATTTTTTTTCTTCTTTCAAACATACTTACAAACAGGGAAAAGGCCTTGAAGCACAGATGGGTTAATCAGGAAACTTAAAAATAATATGAATACTACAGAGTTTAATTTAATTCCATTTTACAACCATATGCGTAGTTACATAAATCCAGCGTTGGCTCGGCAACCATTTCTTAAATAAATAACAATAAAAATAACCTAATTTATATTTTAAATATATCTATATAAAATCTTACCTCTCTAACGTCATTTTCGGTAGCGGGTGGAATTACTTTACGAACAAAGTTTAGAGTGCGATTCACTTCAAAGTCTTCAGTTCTCTTGTGTATGCTAGAAATAGATTCAGCCTCTGCAAACACTGCTTCAATGGAATTACTTGAATGCTTAGCCTCCGTCAATTTATTCAACAATCTACTTCGAACTCTAGTCAATGCGTCAGCCAAGTTTTCTTTTGAAGGAACAAGTTTTACATTCACATTAACACCATTTTCTTCAATACATTGTTACAGAACGCTTAATCTTTATTGAATCAACATTTTGGTCATTGCTTTAGATTTCAATCTTGACTTACCAGTGAGAGCGTCAGAGACTCAGTGGAAGACTGTCACGAAATCTGTGAAGATAGTCATTTTCTTTAATTTCCTCGTCAAAGCCATATTCATTCCTCGCATTACAGCATCCAGCTCCGCCATGTTTATGCGATCCTCAGACATTTCTTTTCATAGCCATGTTGCATCTTCTACAGTAGTTTTACCGAATGAATATCCGCACCTCTTGCCAAAAAACTTGTATCAACCTATACAATCCCCTCGTCACCATGTACTGCCAGATCACCATAAGCGGGATCGCACAATAAAACTACCTTTGGAGGAATCTGGGATTTATTTTGATTTCTTGACAACAGTTTTTTATGTATAATTATTTTTGAACAACCCGTGTCTACCATAGTTATCTCTAACAAACCATTAATTTTTAGATGAATAGTAGTTGTGCTAATTCCACCATTGTTCAGGAACAAGGTAGCCCACATTCCTTGCTCCCTCACTCGTTTTCCTGCTTCATTGAGCATTTTGCAACTACGTGTTCAACATCAAAAAAAATTCTTTAGACAAAAACACATCAACATTCTCTCCAACATTGAATTTTCGTTTAACAAAAAAAGTTTGTATGCCGTATAAATATCTAAAGAGAATGCAGCTAGCAAGACAAGCTCTACTTCTTCTACGTCTTGCTTATTTTCAGCGTTTAAACCATCGTGTACTAAATAAGCAGTTCCTTATAGAAGCATTGGAAAGAGTGACTTCAGTTTTACATTTTGCATTTCGGCAATCACTTTAGTTCGCTGTATCCAAACGGCAGCTTGGATACAGCGTTCCATTAAATGTTTCAAACATATTCAAAAGTTTAATATTCAAACCCATGCCAGATTACCAAGTAAACACAGATCGTTTTTGAAACGTTTAAAAAACGTTAAAAACGGTTTTCATAGGTTTTTTAAACGTTTTAAAAACGTTCTGTGCTTACTGGGTAGCTTGTAATTTTTTTGCTTGAAACAGAACTTCTTTTCTTTTCAAAAATTGGTATTGTGGTTAATCCTCCTCCAGCTAATTGCCATATAGAGGCCACATTACCGTTTCTTTTTCTACATATTCTTTTCTTTCCAAAAATTTATTTATTAACTTAAATTCAACTCATCTTACAAAAGTTTTACATCACATCTACCCAAAAAATCAACATCACAAAAACCGCCTAATATCCAACTACAATTAAAATAATTAAAAACTATTTGTAAAAGAAACCACATAATTGCCGTAGAATTTTCTAGATCTTTCTGCACTTTATTTACACTTACATTTTCAAATCAATTGGAAAAAGGTTTATATTATACAAAGAAGTAACCAAGGCATCAAAGAATATAATTTAAAACAATTCAATGTTAAGCATACTCCATTTAATTTTAAGCATACTCTGACAACTGATGAGATTCTGTATTTTTTAAAAAAAATTAGAACACATATTTTCACTTAAATCATAAAATTCAGGTTTAAAACAAAAAATTAAGTTATAAAGACTAGAAATGGAAATGATCAGTAGTACAACGACGATAGTTACAGTTTAAATTTAAATCCTATTGCTATTCTAAAACACAAGACCATTTTAAGGTGTACATTAGTATTATAAATCCTTCAAATGACTATTTTTAATGTCAGTTTAAATTTTACAACTTATTTATCAAAAAAAAAAAAAAAATTTGAATAAACAAATAAAACACAACTTTAATCCGAAAAAAAAAACATCATTGCAAATAGGGAACTGCCTGTAGCTAAATACACAACACCTTTATTTACATTGACATTTAATTTGCATTTAATAAATTGTTCTTTTATTATTGCACAATTATTTTTATTTACCTGCTTCTTCTCATCTTTTTTTTTTCTCATTTTCTTTTTCAGCTACTGCTTCTAAAACTTTTTCCCTTTCCATTAATCCATGTTATTGAGTTACTTTTACGGTTTTTTTGAAGGTTTTTTTGGGGTAACCCGTTGAATGTGGTAGCAAATTCGGAACATCTTCAAGAGGAAACGGAGATTCAGCAAGATCTTGAATAACTCTATATGCATTTTCAAGATTTTTTCTGTAATATTCACGAGAACCCGTTCTAATATCGTGAGGGGATGAAACAATTGGCACTTTTTGTACCGAGCATTTTTTTTGGGTCTGAGAAGACTTAGTTGCTATACATCTTACTGCTTGTTCAATTTTATCATTTTGCGTCTAGTTAAAATTAAGACCTGACTCTGCAATACAAACCGCTTAAGCTGCTTTAATTAAAGATTCTTTTGTTGTCCATGATGACTATCACTCCTAATATTTCTATAAACCCAGAACAATTAATTGTCATCTTACTAGAAAACAGTTTAGATTTACATTGACAATAATGATGGCGTAAACTATTATTTACTTGATCCAACATTTGTGTTACATCTGTTGTGTCTAGCTGTCCAACAAAAAAGATGAATTTGTTTTTCACAACAATAATGAAGGACGCTCACGTCAAACTCTGAAGAGGTCCACAGGTCTTTCTTCATTTTTCTCTGTTGCATTTCTGATGAGTCTTTTTTGATGAAACACAGTGTAAAATGAAAAGAACGTTTTTGTTAAGTGATTTTCTACTAATTTATATATATATATATATATATATATATATATATATATATATTTATATATATACATTGTTTATGCAGTAACCTTTCGCCTAATGCAGAAAAAGCGATATATATATATCGCTTTTTCTGAATTAGGCGAAAGGTTACTGCATAAACAATGATTTTTTAGGTTTTTACTAGCATGGATATAATACTTTTATATATTTAAAATGAATGTGGACAGTTTTTTTTTTGTAATTCCTTGTAGACGTATGTTTTTATTTGTTGCATTCAATACTAATGCATTTTCTTCATCCTTTGTCAAAAATAAAAGTTGGTTTTTATTTTCACCAATTTTAGCACCATCTAAAATGTGATTTATAGTTCTCGGATCAATATTATAACAAATTTTATAGGCATTTTATAGAATAATCGCGTATATCTAAATATCTTTAAAATGAGAAAACTTGAAAATTTTATTTTAAAATTTAGAAATCTTTTTTTCTATATTCTTATTTTTTTGCTAAGAATATATAAGCAAGATTTTAGAAAATTTCAAAATTTATTACGCTAAAAGGAGTTTTTAATACTCTAAAACAACGCTGATGACAGCGCATTTAACCACTGCTCTATCAACAAAATGCATTTAGCAGAAAAACAAACCTAATTATAAGCCTCTTATAAGCTCTACGTATGCGGAAAAGGTGCACATGTTGAGTTTTTTGCTCTTAAATATTTTTTTAGAATAAATTATTTTACTTAAAAACATTGAAGCAAATAAGAATTAGGTAAAGAATTTATCGGCTATACATTGATATGTATATTTGTAAAGACTTGTAAATTTGTAAAGTGTTTTACGGATCCGGAAAGCTAGGATATGTAAGGAAAAATTATAGAAAAGTTCTATTTGGAATAGATATACAATGACCCGCATTTTTACGGAGCCGATCTCAGCTAGTTTGTGAATATCGCTTTTTCTGCATTAGGCGAAAGGTTACTCCATAAACAATGACTTTTTAGGTTTTTACTAGCATGGATATAATACTTTTTAATATTTAAAATGAATGTGGACAGTTTTTTTTTTTGTAATTCCTTGTAGACATATGTTTTTATTTGTTGCATACAATACTAATGCATTTTCTTTATCCTATGTCAAAAATAAAAGATGGTTTTTATTTTCACCAACTTTAGCACCATCTAAAATGTGATTTATAGTTCTAGGATCAACACTATAACCAATTTGTTTAACAGATTTTTAGTCTCGATAGTTGTTTTTTTACAATAATCCACAGCATTTGCGAAATGTTTATGTTTAACTCTATTTCGTCTCTGTAAGAAGCTGCTTGATTTTTTGCTTTAGATCTTAACCTAAGATTGAACTTCGGTCTTATTTTAAATTACTTTACCTCTTAAAACAAAATTAAAAAGCATTATGAATAATTTAAAATATAACCTTTTAGTACTTTGAAAAATCTTACCTGCATTTTAAGGTGCAAATAACCTATATTATGAAGTACAGCTGAAAATCTGAAAGTTATTTATACAATCTATTTACTTGTATTTAACATAAAACAATTGTGAAACTATAACGCAAAATTTTACAGAAATAAAAAGGTTGTTCCAAAGTTATTGCCATAAAATAAAACCTACATTTTAAGGTTCACATGGTAAAATAGGCCTTATTTTGCGGTGCAATTGCTGATTCATTAAAGAGTGTAAGTACAACAAGCACCCCTAGGGAATTTAATCGATTATAAGGTATGTACATAATCTAAAAAATAGCTTTCAGCTATTGTATCAAAATTTGATGTGGCTATTCAAAAATTTACCTACATTTAAAGGTAATACCTGTAACTTTTAAATTTGACTGTGCAAAAAATTGCAATTGTAATACTGCTTTCTAGCAATTTTTTTTCAATTATAACCAATTTATGTGATTTATATTTTATTAATTTTATATTATATTTAATTTATGTGATTTATATTTTATTATTTTTTTATTATTTTGTTATACTGATATTATGTCAGTGATGCAAAATAATGATAACTGGACACCGAACCATTTTGTACCAATTATTAAAAAACCTTAACTAATTTCTAGTAGTAATAAGAATTTGGCTATAAAAAACGATACTACTTATCCTTTACACTTTTTTAGTCCTAAAACTGAAACAAATAAAAAACAACAACTTGATTCTGCAAAACAGGTCAAAATTTAATCTAAAATTAACTTTAAAAAAGACAATGCTTTCATAGAGTTGCCTTTTGAACCTTCTGTAGATTCAAAAATAGTTAAGTCATTAGACTCCAACTCAGTTATTATTCCTTTATATAATGAATTAAATTCTTTGTATGATTTTTCAACATATCTTGTTCGAGGTAAACTTTTAACTGCTGGCAAAGATGATTCTATTTTGTTAGATATGGTAAACAAAGTATTTTGTCCTAATTCTATGTTTTTCCAATATCTTTTAATACAAAAAGATCATTTAAATTTGAATGACTCAGCCAGTTTTCTTGGTTAGCTTATTATAGCAAAGAAGATGGAGCTTACTGTCTTCCTTGTACTTTGCTTGGTGCTAGTATTCCAAATAAGTCTGGAATATTAAATTTAGTTTTCAAGCCCCATCAAGAGTGGGGTAATGCTGTTCGTGATTATAGAAAACATGAGGAAAGTTGTGTTTTACATGAAAAACCTATGCTTTTATTTAATGCATTGCTTTCACGTTGCAACTCCAAAAATAATGTTATTGAGGTTGATTTAAATAATTCTCGTTTGAAACTTCTTTCTGATAACAGAAAAAAATTAGTTCCAATAATTAAAACAATAATATTTCTTGGTAGAAACGATCGAGCATTTCGTGATGCTAGCAAATATCATCCTGATATTGGGGAATCTTCTACACAAAAAGTTGGAATTAGTAACTTCATAGAGCTTTTAAATTTTTGTGTTGATGCTGGTAATCAAGTATTAGCTAATTATCTTTCTTTAAGTCCAAAAAATGCAACCTATATATCAAAAACTACCCAAAACCAACTTATTGATTCTTGTGGGAAAGCAATTGAGAAAGTTTTAATAAAAAATGTCAAGCATTCAATTTTTTTTTCAATTCTTTGTGATAAAGCAGTTGACTGTTCAAATACTAAACAAATGTCACTTGTTTTAAGATATGTAAATTCAAATAATGAGATTTGCGAGGATTTCTTAAGATTTATTGATTGCAAGACTGGTACATCTGGTCTTAGTCTCTAAATGTACTTAATGCACTTTAAGAGTTTGGACTTGATATTCAAAATTGTAGAGGCCAAGGGTATGGCGGTGCGGGTTGTATGGCAGGTAAATATGAAGGAGTTGCTTCTCGAATAAAAGCTCTTAATCATAAAGCTATATTTGTTCATTGTGCAAGCCATAGACTTAGTTTAGTAGTAGCAGCTGCATGCCAAGTTCAAAAAGTAAAAAATCTTCTTGGCCAAGTAAAAGAAATATTTTTTTTTTAACTTATCTCCTAAACGTAGTAACTGTCTCAAAAAATATTTAGGTCCAAACCAAGAAAAAATAATAGATACTTGTCGAACAAGATGGGTTCAAAAGCTGAGAGGTCTTGATGTTTTTTTTTGATAATTTTATACCTATTATTCATGCTTTGAGGAGATGGGGTTAAATGAGTCAAAGGAATATAGCAGTGAAACTGCTTCCAAATCCTCTTTTTTTTAAGATTATTAACAGATTTCTCTTTTATTGTAAGTTTAGTTATTACAAAACAATTAATGGATTTTTTTCAATTCTGTTTTTTTTCAAATTCAATTACTGTAACTCTTCAAACTAAATCTTTTGACATATCCCAGCAGTGTTTTGAAATAACTAATCTAAAAAATCTGTTATTAGAAATTAAAAATAAAATTGATATATATCACAGTGAATGGTACGCTATCGCTCTTAGTTTGGCCAAAACTCTTGATATACAAGAAGTGAGACCTAGATTGTGTAATGTCCAGGTTTACCTGGATAATTATCCAACAAATACAGTTTGTGACTATTTTAAACACAGCATTACATCTCCATTAATTGAACATCTTATTAATGAGCTAGATAATAGGTTTCCAGAAAATGGCATGTTTGTTTATAAAGGTCTAGCAGCAGTTCCTTCAACTGTACTGTCCAGAATACAAGTTAAAAAACCATGGAAATCTGATTTTTATGAATTTTTAAATTTCTTTTCATCTGATATGCCTCATTTTACTTCAATACATGCTGAGTTAGATTTATGGGAATTATTTTGGGAAAACCAGTCAAGTATTCCTTCAACTGTTGCTGGTACTTTAAAGTCCATTGACATGAGAGGTTTTCTAAATATAAGGACAGCATTTATAATTTTGAGAACAATTCCAATAACAACTTGTGAATGTGAAAGAAGTATTTCAGTTATACGTAAGCTAAAAACATTCTCTAGAAGTAATATGATTGAGTCTCGCTTAAACTCTTTAGCATTAATGTCCATACATCAAGAAATTTTTCCAGATGTTGAAAGAGCCATTGACATTTTTTCAAAGTCAGGTGAAAGACGTTTAGACTTAGCTTTTATTTAGTAATGTACTAACTTTTATTTTACTTTTTTCTTATTTCTAATTTGATTTTTATCAAATTAGAAATAATTATCTAATATTGTGTGTGTGTGTGTGTGTGTGTGTGTGTGTGTGTGTGTGTGTGTCCCTGGCATTAGACATTCTGGCATATTTTTTATTTTAATTTAGAAACAAATGTTTTACAGTATTAGTAAATTGCTAATTGCCATTTCCTGTTGTGTATAGTATAAAACTAATCAGTTACATACAATACAAATATAATTACATCGTATATATCAACAACGCAATAACATACTTCATCTGTAGATATTTGCATATGACATTTAACGTGTTTTTCTTATAAGCTTCACTATGCAAATTATATATTTATATATATTTTGCATTAAAGTTTACAGTTTGTATCATAGCACAACAGTTTAAGTAAGCATATAAAATATTATTAAATCACTTACTTTTGACAACCAAAGCTGTTACTATTTTATGTGCATTTGACTTTTGTGATTGGTTTAGTGATGATACATTCAAAAAACTTATGTCAGTTGCTTGTAGCACCTATAATAGTAAAAAAAAAACGTACATAAATTAAATTAATACATCATGTAAGTCAAACTTGTATTTTTCTAAAAACCTAATCGATGACTGCATATTATAACTTTATTACTGGCAATATACTTACGATCATTACATACCAATAGCTACATATTGTGAATTTATAGTTAACTACAACATCAGAAAAAATCTAAAGCTAGTTTATGCCTACATATTGTAGCTATATTTTTAAATCCAATTCACTCCTAAAATAGCTGTAAACTAAGTCACTAGTTGTTAAGTTGACTTTAACAATTTAAGTCACTAGTTGTTAACTTAGCTAACACTACATAAATGATTCAAGCAGAACACCAACATACATAAAATAATTTACAGTTTAAAAAACGCAACGTCAGAGGTCCAGAAAAAAAACGTATACACTTTTTGAAACTTATAAGTGATTAAACACTGTGCTAAACGTTTAACTCAAGTTTGGTTTATGCAGTTAAGTTAAAACGTATGCATATTACCAAAGCTAAATCTGTTGCTTATATCTATTTAGAATCAACAATTCATCTAGAATCAACAACATTGTAAAAAAATCTTAATATTTAACTTTCTGATTATCGAAAGTAAAATAAACAAACATGCAGTGCTACTACTAAGGAAATTTATTTGAATTTAGAACTTTTAATGTATCTTAGGAAAGCTATTTTGAATTTAGAAATTCCACGTGAGTTTTTCTGAAAATGGAAAGTTAAATTAAAAGATGAAATTCATTTAAAATTGGAAAATTTTTATTATATAGTTAACTTAAGGCACTAAAAGACCACCTGTTATAAAATCTGTGAATAAAAGTTTTCTTTTGCTTTTTGCTAAGATTCAGTGCTTAGCTAATCCAGGCTTGTGTGCAAGTCATGCAGATAATGCAGCAACTTTGCTATAAGTTTTGTAAAAAATTCTATGCAAATTTATGATAGTGGACATAAGCTACAATGAAAAAAGCCTAATAAACATAGCAGAAAGTGTAAAATTATTTTTTCCCACTTGATAGAGAAACTTCATTCCCATTTGAAAACTTCTTGGGACATATAAAGAATTTGATACTTAAAACACGATTATCTCATCAACAGTTTATTAAACGCATATCAGAATACGTTTTTAACAAGAAATTTCTACATAACCAAAGCCTTGATTTATTTTAAAAACTTTAAATTCGGATAGTGACAAATACCATTTACAAGTTTTTGTAAATATTGAGCCCTTTTTAAGTTATCCAAATAATTCATTAGAAATTTTTGATATTGTGAAGGTATCTAATTTGTCTACTCATTTAAAACTGTCAGAGTGGATGAAAGTCAAAAAAAGTTTGTGTTGTTACCATTACCAAACTAAATTTATTTTCATTCCTCTGTCTAAGTAGCTTGCATCGCTATATAACTATAAATGTTCCCTTGAACACTCTATTAAACGCACTTACATTCTATATTTCAACATATCTCATACAAAACTTATTTTATAAACTTTTGTTACAAGCAATTAGGGGCCAGTGAAATCTTAAATTTTAAACACATAAGCCAGCAAGAGTTCTGAGTAGCCCGATGATTTAAGTTTTCATTTGCTTTTATTAAATTTTGATTTAACAAAAGCAAATAAAAACTTAAATCACTTGAAGCATTCTACCTGGTATAGTGACAAATAGGTTGATCCATTGCTTGACGTTTGCGTCAATCCACCTTCTGTATCTCAAGTGATTTTCAGCTTAGACTCTTCTAAACCTGGTGGTCTGTACAAAAAACATGTTACAGTCTTGCAGAAGTGTTCTTTGGAGCTTTCATCTTTTCTTTCAAATATATTTAAAAAGTGCCTATTAGAATCTTGTTTTCCAGCATGCTGGAAAGCAGCATCTTTTATCCCTATTTTCAAAAATCCTGGAGAGCAATCTGACTTGTCTAACTACCGTGTCATTAGTCTTCATCCTATCATAAGCAAGGTTTCGGCATCTTTAATTAACAAACACTTAACCTCTTATCTTAAGTCTAATAACTTACTTTCTGATAATCAATTTAAATTTTGTTCTTCTCGCTCTACAGGTGATTTGCTAACGGGTTATGCAAAAATCTTCGAACTTTTTTTGAAACTGATTTTAATAAGGAGAGTAGTTTTTCAACCTTCAACTTATTGTTTATTTTGAAGATCAAACATTAATGTATTTAAATCACTTTTAGTTTTTATCTAGACTTCTATACAAAAAAAATGACAAGGTTTGATCGAGAAGCCTTTGCAAAAGGAATCGTAACAATCTATGAAAAATGTTTAAGTGATAAAAAGAAATTAACATATAAACATTTTAAAAATGAAGGAAAATTAAAATCAACTATATTTAGTATTCTTGCAAGGTATGAGAAGTATGGTGTGTATAAGGATTTAGTTACATCAGGTTGTCCTCCAAAAATGGATCAGAAAAAAGTCAAACGATTGACTAAAATGCTAAATAATTCAACTGGTATTAGTCAAACGTATTTAGCTTCATATTTTAAGGTGAAACAAAGCACAATTTCAAGAACTATTAATTTCAAAACAGATATTAAATGCTACAAAAAACAAAAAACACCTTTGTATGAAAAAGATTCTATTTGGATTCTATTCTTTACCTTTATAAATCTCAACAACAGAGAGCAGCAATCATGGAGAAGATTAGGTAATAAAGTATTCCATGAAAAAGATATAATCATGGATGACGAAAAATATATTAACCTATTAAACTCAAATATACCTGGAAATGATATATTTTATACAAATAATAAATTGTTAGCCCATGATATTGTAAAATATAAGTTGAAAAAAAAATTCTAAGAAAAGGTATTGGTTTGGAATTGCGTTTCTTCAAATAGAATTTGTGAACCTTATATACATAAATCAAAGAATTCAATAACATCCAATATATATGTAAAAGAATGTACAAAGAAAAGACTTATACCATTTGTTACATAACATCATAAAGATAATAATATTGTGTTTTGGCCAGATCTTGCAACTGCTCATTATGCTAATAAAACAGAAATTTGGTTTATTGATAATTCCATAGAATTTGTACAAATATGCACTAATCCACCAAATGTTCCACAGGCTAGACCAATTGAACCATTTTGGGCTATTTTAAGTCAGATGGTATACAGTGATGGTTGGAGAGCACGTAGCATATATCAACTAGTTCAAAGAATAAAGAGTAAATTAAATGAAATAAAAGAAAATGATCCAAATCTGTTACAAAGACAAATGATGAGTCTTAAAACAAAACTAAGAAAAATTGCTGATAGAGGCGTTTATTCAATATGTTAAATATATTAATAAATACTAGAATGAATGTTCTTTATTACTATATAGTTTCATTTTTTTATCTAACTAACCATATTTTTTTACGACTCAATAAAAATAGTTTGAAGATTTATGCATAACCTGTTAACAGAAACCAATGATAGGTTTTGTCTATACTCTTTTAAATTTACATTAACAATCACTCATTGTTGGGTGGCGTTTTCACTGATAATACTACTTTTTGTTCTTGTCATGATAAGTAGTCAACACTCTCTGATTACTTGGAGGGGGCATTTGAGCTTCAAAAGGGTGTCATTTCTGCTACAGCATGGGACTCGCAGTGACTGGTAAAGTTTAATTCAGATAAAACTCAATTTTTTCAGGTTAGTTAAATAATTTAGATCTTCCTATATTTATGAACGGTAATGTTTTCGATGAGTCATCTACTCTTTAGTCTTCCTTGGAAACCATTGATAAATCCATTGCAAAATTTCCTTCTGCTAAGGTTGCATCTTTTTATCGAGCTCGATACCTTCTTTCTCCGGATTCTATTTTTTATCTCTATAAATCTCAAACCCATTCTTTTATAAAATATCGTTGCCATGTCTGGGGTGAATCTTCTAATGATGCAGTTTCTCTTTTAGACAAGGTCCAAAAAGACATTGTAAACATAGTTGGACCTGCTCTTGCAGCCAACCTTAAACCATTATCAAATCGTTATAACTTTGCTTCTCTTTCTCTTTTCTACAAATAATAAAATGGGCACCGCTCCAAAGAGCTAGCATCTCTTGTGCTATCTACTAAAGTTCATTCTCGTGTTACTCTTTATTCAATTAAGTCTCATTCTTTTTCTGTGACTGTTCCTAAGTGCTCTAAAAACTCTTATTTGTTTTGTTTTTTTATTCAAACATAAGGTCTTTCGGAATTTGCTTCCTTGATTCATATAAATTGATATCTTTTAAGTAATCTGTCAATCGTTATCTTGCTCTAAAATATTCATCCTTTCTCTTCCTGTAACTTCTAACTCTTGCTTCTAATTGCTTTCAGCCTTGATGGAAGCGAAAATGTAAAACTAGATAAATAATTAAGCCTCAAATACTTTCAAACTTATTGTCTCCTTTTGCAAGACAAGAATTTTAGAAATTCATGCAGAAGATATTTAATCAAACTGTTTAAATCAAATTGTTTATATTATTTTTTAAATTAATTACTTTTTGATTAGAAGCTGGTTAAAAATATAGACCAATAAAAAAAATAGCTTATAAATGTTTCGATGAGGATCAGCATTTCTAACTAGTTTATCCCGTCAGACAAACGTCATCGCCACTTATGTCATCGCCACTTATGCTTTAATCCGCGACTTACACCTATTCCATACTGCAGTAAAAAAGGACTCACTACAAATAGACACAACCCAACCAACCCCAAATTTGTAAAGCACCAATTTTTTTTTTTTGATGATATGATATAAAAAGTATAGATTTACTGAACAAGCAAAAATAAAAATAACTAAATAAAACACTTACCGTACCACCAAAAGAAAACATGAAAACAAAGTAAATTAAAATTCTAATAGAAACATAAAAATATTAATCAATTTATTTTAAGAAATAAAACCAAAAAGGTGTTATTAGCATAAACAAGCCCAAGATAATCAGAAAGCAGTATAACTCATTAAAAAATTCTTTTAATAAACAAAACAATACCCTTAAATAAACTCTAACGCTGTCAAAGATACCTCATTTGAAATATGATAACCAATCAAAAGTGTAGGAAAATGAGTGACCCGCGAAACCCAAAATCACAACAATAATAGAATAATATACGATAGCGAAAAAGAACGTTGCACAAAAACATTAAAAATGTATGCAACATATATGTAAACATTAAATGAAGGATATAAAAATATTCTCTGAATAATAATAAAGATGAAAATTGTGCAATTGAAAATTAAAATAAAGCTGAGTAATGAATGCAAGATAATATAACATGAAAGTTTCTATAAACAGTAATAATATGAAAATCAGGAGATAAGTAATATATTAATAAATATAGCAATAAGACTAACTAAATATTGTAATAAAACCAGATAATTTTAAGCCAAATGAGTGGTTAAAAAATTAGTTGTAGGTAATATAACAATGATAAAAATCGTGATATAAAAAAAACTTATAAAACCAAAAACGAATCACAAAGACATTAAGATTGTTTTATCACTAGAATATCTAAAAAAAATGTTAACTTTTAAGTTTTGAATTAGGAGTTTTCAGCTTAAACCATGTAGCTGTAGAGTAATGTTGAGAGTATTTTAGCATTAGAATATCTGAAAAATTGTTAACTTTTAAATGATTTTTGTATTTTTTCTCTCTTATAAATTAACTTTATTTTACTTTCAAAATAGTTATTTAAAAAAAAACTAATTTGTTGTTCTATGTATTACAAATATTGTAAATACAGTAGTAGGCTCTTGTTGTTAAAAACAAATTATGGCATGAAATCACAAAAACCAAAATAGTTCTAATAATAACCTATATTAGGCTTGTATTTGCATTTTGTTGGGCAATTATTAAATTGCGTTTGGCTGATAATCTCTATTGGTGAAAAATAATTGACCAATGTAGGGTCTGCGGCAATCTTATTAGAGATGGGTGCTATCTGATGGTTTTAATTTGCCAGCAATTGACAATATTGGCTAGCAGAAGCTGAAATTGTGTCTGTATTAGCCAACATTTATCCAGCATTAGAAAATATTGAGTTTACAATGGCTAATGTTTAGCCAGTATTAACCTATATGGGACTCTTATTGCTTAATGTTGAGCATTAAAAAGTTATAGCCTATATATTGCCTTTAATAGCCAATGTTGAGCAATGATATATATATATATATATATATATATATATATATATATATATATATATATATATATATATATATATATATATATATATATATATATATATATATATATATATATATGTCACTATGTAATGCCACTATTTGAATGACTTAAATAGGGAAAAAAAGCAGAAAGTGTACATACATCAATTAAACAGTGAGAACATAAAAAAAGTGCCATTACAAAAAAAAACACTTACAAAAGCGATGACATTGAAAACAGACAGTTAAAATCTTATGTACTAAAATTAAAAAGATAAAAATGTTTACAGCAACTTCCAATGTTCCTTTATCTAAGACCTTCAAATTTAACTTTGTTAAATAACCAGAAGTTAAAACAAACTCTTTCAAAACAAAACCAGATGAAAGGTTGCAAAACTGCTCTTTGTTAGCCTGAAAGTTTGTGATGTTTTCATATTTTACATTCGGAATTACCTATATTAAAAAAAAAAAAATAAAAACAGTTTTCAACATTGATATTTAAGTCTAAACTAAAATTTAAATATTTGCAATAATAAAAATAATACCTTAATGTAATGAATGCTTTCAGTATATGCTTTATACTTTCCAATCACTTTTATTATGATTCTCACATTGAATTCATTATTTTCATCACCAGGTTCCAATATAAAGTCAATTAAATTAGGCTCATCAGTAGATGCTACATTTAATAAAGGATAGTCAATTGCTGTTTTACTGGTAAGATTCCTGCGTTGTGACTGGCCGTTATCATAAAAAAACATGTAGTTAAGCAACCCATCTGGATCTTTCCAATCATTGCAAAAAATGTTAAACTTAGTTTCAAGTGCATAACCTTTTATTGGGCTATTATAAAAATAATAAACAAATTTCACCTAGTTTATTAAAACAAAGATACAAAAGCAAAAAAAATATTATTTTATGTACTTTTTTACTGATGGCAATACTGCGGCAATTAACGTATATATGTATATATATATATATATATATATATATATATATATATATATATATATATATATATATATATATATATATATATATATATATATATATATATATATATATATATATAATATATATATATATATATATATATATATACATATTTATATACATGTATATACATAAATATATATATATATATATATATATATATATATATATATATATATATATATATATATATATATATATATATAAATATATATATATATATAAATATCTATATATATATATATATATATATATATATATATATATATATATATATATATATATATATATATGTATATATATATATATATATATATATATATATATATATATATATATATATATATATATATATATATATATATATATATATATATGTATGCCCTATCAAAAATATCGAACTATAGACAAGGTAATTACATAAAAATCACTCAAAATCAAAATTAAATCAACAGGTCAAATTTTTACAAAGATCTGTACATGGAGCAAATGGATTCAAAGTTTTGCCATGCTTATTTAAATATAATTATATTACACATCCCTATGTTCAAAAAATGAATAAAAATCCTATCTAAATGGTTTACCATTGATTTGAGAAATTTAACTAAACTTAAATATAAGCTCAGGTTTTTAACATTCAGTTTGGCTGAAAATCTAATGCTACTATTGAATTTAACCGATTCTTGAAAAAATTTGAAAAACAAAGTTATCAGTAAGAAACTAGGAAAAAAGATATCCTATCTAATATGCAAAACTAATCTAAAACTATTGTACTTTATTTTAAATACCCAAAATAAAATGAATTCTAAAATCAAATTAATAAAACAATTTGGCGATGTTACTTTCGACCAACCGCTAATTAGAAAACAAATAAACGAACACTTTTATTCAGTTTTCGATAAAAATTGTTCGAATATCAATCGTCCTCACCTGATTTTTAAATCAAGAACATCTAACATCTGTTTATTCAATCAATTTCTTTCTCAATTTTGATAATTAATATGCAGCTGCAAAATCTCGACTGACGACTCAAGATTCCTTGTGGCGACAACATACACCCTCAACCACTACACGAGTATTATTTCAGCTTATCTGAAGCTCTTTTTCCGATCTTTGTTCATACCCTTCAAAATCTTTTCGTCCCCCTCTTAGAAACCAACCAACATCACTCCGAATTTCAAAAAAGAAGACAAATAAATAGCTTTAACTTATTAAACATGTCCTTAACATGTGTATCTCCATTACATGTGTATCTTGCAAGATTATGGAACTCATAATTAAAGCAGTAATGTTAAACACCTTATCGATAAAGATCTTTTCAATCCAGCACAGCACGACTTTTTCGTGAAAGATCTTCTATCACAACTCTCTTCCACTTAAACTTAGTGTGTATTGTTTTTAAGTAGTCATAGGTTCAAACTTGTCAGAATGGAAAGAGGCATAAAGTGGTCTCCCTCAAGGTTTCGTGTTGAGCCAGCTGTTTTTTATTATATTTATGAATAATTTTCTCGATGTGATTACACACTATGTTAAACTCTTTGAAAACGACTGTAAAATTATAGGAATAATCAAAACTTTGAACAATAAAGGACCCGAAAAAAATGATATGAGCAAAACTGTTGATTGATCAAAAAAATGGAAAATGAAGCTGCATGCGAAATGCAAATCGATTTGAATCAACAGCAACACCAAAAGTTCCTCTATATGATTATACAATAATTAACTAAAATGGACCTCTTTATTTGCTAGAAAAAACTGTTTCTGAACAAGATCTTGGTGTACAAATCACAAATAACCTTAATCAGAACAATTGATTAAAACTTGTTTCAACAAAAGAAAATTCCGTGATTAAGGCTTTAAGGTGGTCATTTAAAACATGGAATATAGAAACAACTATAAAATTTTATTGTTCTTTGTCAGTCCTCATCTAGAGTTTGCGTCCTCAGTTTGGATTCCGTCCCACCAATTAGATATTAAACTAATATCTAATTAGCATACAAAAAGAGACTTACAAAAATTGACTTAACAACATTAGAAGAATATCAGCTGCTATAACCAAGCAATCTGGTTTACTAGAATAGCGTTTCTAGTGCAATCTGGTTTTCTAGTGCAGCATAAACTTTATTATCAAAATTTATTATTAAAAATAAAGTATGTTATTACATATATATATATATATATATATATAATATATATATATATATATATATATATATATATATATATATATATATATATATATATATATATATTTATATAAATATATATATATATATATATATATATATATATATATATATATATATATATATATATATATATATATATGTATATATATCCTAATTTAATTTTTTTAAAACACAATCTTAAAAAATTCCTTCCTCAAATAATTTGCTAAAAAAAATACTTACTTTACATAACAAAATCCTGAAGTTGGTTGGGCACATGTTGCTTTTGTAAAATTAAACTTAGCTCTTTTTGTTGAAGATGCAAAACCAACCAGGAGTGCAAAATTGTAGATAGTTGATTCATGAAGAATATCTTTATTTATAACTAAACTTGGTGTAAAAAAACCGGTAGTTGTAGCATTTTCGGACAAAATCTCAGAAGGAACAACACCATAACTATTTGTTATAATCCACTCTGCTGCTAATCTAAAATTTTAAACATAAAAAATCTTGAGAAATTTAAAAAAAAACATTATTTAAAAAATTTTTGTTTCTCACCATTATTTAAACAACGCTTGTCCAAGTCAAGATATTAAACTGATCCTTTAAAAGGGCATGTGAGCCTCTTTAGAAAGATAAAACAAATAACCAAGGAGAAATAAAATTCCAATAAAAAGTCCCAAATATTATTTTGGGTAAAAATATATATTTTTAATTGTTTAGTGGTATTATTACAGAAAAAACAAACAATTTAAACAAAAAATAACATTATGAAAACCCATTTAAACCACTTGGGTGTACAACCATGGATACAAGAGAAAATTAGAAGAAAAATTGTTTACCTTTGAAAAGCACAATCTGCGCATGTAAATGAATAAATTACAAGCTCTTTAAAATTCAGTTTTTCATCACAGTTGGATATGCATCTAGGTATTGAAAGTATTTGTTCAAAGTTGTTTAAAATAACTGTTATATATATATATATATATTTATTTTTACATACCTTGGTTTTATTTAAACTTTATTATGCTAAATTTGAAAATTTGCATAAGTTTAGTATAAAATTCTTTGGCTTTTATTTTATAAAAATTACATCTCCTATAATAGGTTACAAAAGGTGGTACAATAGGTAATATTATAGATATTGGCCCTGTCAGTTAAACAAAACAGACAGTTTATTGTATGTTTAATGAAGTAGTGAAAATTATAGTAATACAAAATAAGACAATAAGTTGAGTCTTGTAAGTTTGTAACTTGAACGCATCCTTGCAAAAAATATAATATCGTATGTTCAATATAAAATATTTTTAAACAGCCAATTTGATTTTCTTTCTGGTATAAATACAACTGAAGCCATCATTCAAGTAATTAAAGACTAAGGATACGCTATTGACCGCTATACCTCATTAACTGCTATATTCTTTGATTTTTCAAAAGCATTCAATTTGTTGACCACATTATCTTTATGCACAAAGTTGAAATCAACTTTTCATCATGGTTATAATCCTGGATTGCAAAGTGGCTTTCAAACCGTAAACAACATGTTATATTCAACAGCAAGTGTCCTTGACCGATCCTCTTTTTGATCTATGTACTAGACTTAAAAGACTACCTCCCAAAGAGCATAACACACAAGAATTATGCAGATGATATCCTAGCTTACATAACTGGTAATAACTCTTCCTTTCCACAAGAAGTAGCAATCTACAATGATGGTGCAATGTTAATAAAATGTTTCTCAACATTGCCAAAATCAAGGTTATTTATGTGTGCAGAGGTGAAAATCCAGTCATAACATTAAAATGAGAAATTCTTGAACTTGTTAACTCATATAAAAATCTTAGCATCAACCTCATCTCAAGTCTCAATTTTCACAAGCAATAGTCTAGTCTACTTAAGAAAATTACCACTAATGAGTATCTTTTTAAGCAATTCCGAATATTTGGTGGATGGTCTCAATTCATGCTTATATCTGCCTACCGCGCTTATTGTCTTAGCCACTTTACTTACAATGCAGTTATCCTCATCTCAACGACCAATAAAACTAAATCTAGGATGCAAGTCTTTCAAAACCGCTTTTTAAAAGCTGCTTGTATTGATCCACAAAAGGCGAGCTACTATGGTATCCTTCCTATTGAAGAATCTTGATCTAGTATGTCTCAGTAAACTTAAACAAATTTTAAACAAACCTAACCATTCAATCACACTTAATCTACATAAAAACAATCACTGGCATACCACTTGCAAATTTAATACTAGATCTGCAAAAACAAAAATGTATTTAAACACATATCTACAAATATTTATCCGCCACCTTTGTAATGATGCTAATAAACCTGGAGCTAACTCTACTCTATACGTTACCTGAACCAATTAAATAGAATGTTCCAAATTATTGTACTATTAGCTTTTTGTTAACTCAAATCAATATTTATTTCAAGAAAAGATTATATTTATAACTAATTTCTGCATGATAAAAACATTTTATATATCGAAAGAAGTTTAATGCTTTCACTTTAATAGCTTCAAACTTGAGAGCGATGAAGACCAAGACTTTAAAATGTATTGTAATCAGCGTAATCTGTTTAGTTTTTCTAAAGTATACCTGTTTAAAAAAATATTGTTTTGTAACTGATTTTTAAATACAAATGATAGAAAACATTAGCTTCAAAGGTGTACATTATATGTTTTACTTTTTTTAAAACCTTTTTATGTTAAATATCTTTTTCAGACATATTTGATGCCAGCACTTAAAAAGATTTTAATAATTTTAATTCCACTGTTCACATTCTACCTGGTATAGCCAAAAAACAAGTTAATTTGTTGCTTGACTTTCGTATAAATCCTGCTTTTGTATCTAAAGTGATTTCCAGCTTAGACTCTTTTATAGTTGGTGGTCCATACAAATTACCTGTTATAGTCTTGTAGAAGTGTTTCCAGGAGATATCATCTATACTTTCAAATCTATTTAAAAAGTGCATCTGGAGAGCGGCATCCGTTATCTGTTTTTCTTTAAAAACGGATAACAAATTGTATTTTGAACTGAATTTTTAAAAACTCTGAGAAGCAATCTGACTCATCTAAATTCAGTCCCATAAGGTCTTCTTCCCATCATTTCATATTAACTCTTATGTTAAAAATATAGTATATCTTCTTTAAAATTAGGCTCCAGAGACTACTAAAGAATCTTTAACAGTTTTTATAATAAGGATAAATTTGCTATTATTCATCTCTTACATAGTTCAGATTTTGTTTTTTCGCCTAAAATCAAAGCTGAATTGTTTAGTAAAAACTTTTCATCAATCTTATCTCTTGATTACACTAATCACATTCTACCTGATAATGCCGACAAATAGGTTGTTCCATTGCTTGGCGTTTGTATTGCTGCAGCTTCTGTATCTAAAGTGACATCCTGCTTAGACTATTAAACAGCTTGTGTTTGAGACAACAGGCCTATTATAGACTTGCAGAAGTATGTTCTGGGCTATTGCTATTGACATTTCTAGAGCTTTTGATAAAGTTTGTCATTCTAGTCTTTTCCATAATTCTCCTTTTACAGTGTATCAGGTAATATCTTAAAAACTATTGAAAAATCCTTACTAAATGTAGGATTTATATTGTTTTTGATGAACAGCACTTATTTCATTCACTTTAGCATCAGGGGTTTCTCAAGGTTCTATCCTTGGACCTATACTTTTTTTTAATATATATAACATCTTTGGACCTATATATTTTTAATATAGATAAGCAATCTCCCAAAATCTGCTACATCTGAGATGGCATTGTTTGTTGTGATACTGGCATTTAAATTTGTCTTGATGAAAGTTTAACACTCTCTTATTGCTTAAGGAAGACATTTAAGCTTGAGAAGAATCTTACATCTTCTACGGAGCTCTCTATGGCTTTTGAATTTTAACATAGATAAAACTCAATTTTTTCAGCTGGTTGTTTTTGCAACAATCTAGATCTACCTGTATTTATGCATGTTAATGTACTCAATTAGTCATCTACCCTGCGTCTTTTAAAATTAAGTCTTAAGTCTCATCCTTTATTGAACCATATAATTATTAGCTGTTGAGATTGTATCTCTTTATTGTTCTCTTAATCTTCTTAAACTCTTAATAACTTATTGTCACTTTTTTACTCCAGATTCTATTCTTTTTTTCTATAAATCTCAAATCTGTCCTTGTATGGAATAATGTTGCCATATTTGGAGCAGGTCTTTGAATAATGCCCTTTCTCAAGAATAATGTCCTTTCTCACAAGGTGCAAAAATGTATTTTAGACAGTGTTGGACTTGCTATTGTAGCTAATACTCTACCATTGTCACATACTTTTACTTATATCTTTTTTCTCATCCTTATAATGTAATGTTTGAGTGCTCAAAAAACTATTATTTGTATAAATTTTTCCATAAACATCAGTGCTTTGAGTTTTGCTTTCTGCATCTTGATTTTCTTATTTATATACTATGCTATCTTTTAAGTTCTCTTGCTTCAAAAACATTATCTTTTCTCATCCAGTATCTTTCAACTCTAATTGTGGTTGCTTGTAGCCTTGGTGAAAGTAAAAAGGTTGAAAAAAGTATAAAACATTTTCTTCAAAGTATTGGCCATTGTTTTCTACACATTTTGACCACCTTTCTGGCAATTTGTGGATACCACGCCAATAAACTTGTTCGTGTTTTAAAGCAAACCAACCAGACACCCAATTTTTGACCTCCTCGTAGGAATCAAAGTGCTGCTCAGCCAATGCGTGTCCCATTGATAAAAACAATTGTAATCGGAAGGAGCCAAGTCTGGTGGATACGGCGGGTGGGGTAGCAGCTTCTAGCCAAGTGTTTTGATTGTATCCTGAACCGGTTTTGCTTTGTGTGCAGGTGCATTGTCATGGAGCAAAATTACCTTGCCGTGTCTTCTGGCCCATTCTGGTCGTTTCTCGATCAATGCATGGTTCAAATTGATCATTTGTTGTTGGTAGCGATCAGTATTGACGGTTTCACCAGGTTTTAGGAGCTCGTGGAACACCACACCTTTCTGGTCCCACCAAACACACAGCATTGTCTTCTTGCCGAATCGATCTGGTTTTGCAGTCGATGTTGATGGTTGTCCCGGATTAACCCATGATTTTTTCCGTTTAGGATTCTTAAAATAAATCCATTCTCATCGCCAGTAACAATCCGATGCAAAACTGATTTTCTTTCGTGTCTTCGAAGCAAAATTTCACAATTTTTTTTTCGGTTTTCCATCTGTCTTTCATTCAATTCATGTGGCACCCATTTTCCACACTTTTGGATCTTTCCCATAGCTTCTAAACGGTCAGAAATTGTTTGTTGTGCAACATTTAACATTTCTGCCATTTGCTTTTGACTCAAAGTGTCATCTCCATCCAATATCGTTTGCAATTCGGCGTCTTCAAACTTTTTTGGTGGTCTTCCACGTTCTTCATTTCTCACATCAAAATTATTATTTCTGAACCGTTGAAACCATCTTTTGCATGTTGCTTCTGATAGAGCATGATCACCATATGCCTCGACAAGCATTCGATGCGACTCTGCAGCACTTTTCTTCAAATGAAAACAAAAAATTAATGCTTTCCGCAAATCATCACTTTCCGGTACAAAATTCAACATTTTTAACCTGATGAAAAAATATGATGTTGTCTGTTCAATGACTTGATGTATACTAAATATGTTTCACAGATGTCATAGCAAATAAACAAAAAAAAATAAAGGCTCGTTCACAACAAATGTTCCCTATCGAGACATTTGTATCTTGACGGTCACTTCATACCGGTATACCTGGTACTTTGTATATAGGTTTGTGGTTCAACAAACCTTTTTCAGATAATTGAAAACTCCCAGAACAGAGCAGCATGAGAAAAATTAGCTTCAGATCAAATTAGTACAATGTTTAAAGAGTCTGAA